CGTCGACACGTACGTCATGGCGGCGTACGGCCACCCGCCGTTGCACCCCGCGCTGCCACTCGCGGTGGAGCAGCTCGTCACTTGCTGCTCGGACAGATCGAGGAGCTCTCCCGTCACGATGCAGTGCGCCGGTTCCGCGGCACCCACGGCCGAAAACGCCCAGCACGACCCACATTGGCCTTGGTTGCGCACGGGGTTGACGCACTTGCCAGTGGTCCAGTCCACCGACGCCGCCTTGACGCTGGTCACGTTCAAGTCGGCCTCGGGGACCGAGCGGAACGCACTGCGGCTTTCCTCCATCGACACACCCTCCACAAACATCTTGAACTCAGCCTGTGTCATGAGAGCAAACGGGTGGTTGTAGTCGAACGTGGCTTCGGGGTTGTTGCGACGGGCCTCTTCGATCGCGAGCTTGTTGTCGTAGAACCGCTGGAGCTCGTCGTTTTCCGCCTCAATCGGATTCGAACTTTCGGAGGCGCGGGGCAGCAAGCCCCGCTCCGCAGCGGCAGGTCCAAACTCTTCCCGCCACTTGCTCAACTCAGCTCGCAGCTCGGATTGCTCATCAGCCGAGAGCGTGCTCACGGACTGCTTGGTGGCGGCAGCGGACGCGACGAGGAGAGCACCAAACAACTTCATGGGTCTGGAGGCGGTCGAAAGCAAACTCTAAAGTGACTCTTGTTCACATGTCAATAGATGCAACGTGCCCACACTACACATGCCTTTTTGAATATCATCTCCGTATAGCCAGGATAGTCCAAAATCAGGTTGATGAGGCGTGTCTGAGTTGGCAAAGGTATGGTCGGTGGTTTTCTTTTACTAGGTAGTACATTATCAAAATTCGCTCCCTTGGTTTTGGATGGCTCTCACGTTTACACGAAACATTCCACAGTTGTCAGACTAGTTTGGTAGTTCAGCCAATGGCGGCTCCAACACGTTCCCCATGATGTTTGTGCGTTCATCATGCCAGGTGGACTATGGAGGGTTTGTACCAAATGGAAATTCTCCTCTTGGACCATCAGTAGGCAGGCACTAGCACGCACAACCCGCAGAGAGGAAAAATGTTACATAGAGTACACAACCTGGCAATCCACCCGGGTCGGAGAAACCCCGACATGAACAACCCACAGATCAGATTAGATCAGTGCGGAAGGCAACTAACAGTAAACGCACGCAACGCCCACCTTGCCTTCGAGTGAGATGGATCCAATTGGTCACGGTGCTTCGATGTTCGACATAAAATGTAGCCTATCGCAGACCGCATGCAGAAGTTTACAGTTATTGCTTTCAAGAGGCAATAAAATTCTACACAAA